GATTCTTCGCGTCTTCTCTCTTTGCAACCATGGAAGCTAAATCGTCTTCAAAGTCCTAAACTTGTTTCATTCTCAAACTCTAATGTCTCTCGATACAGAGCAGTCTCTGTTTCTTCGACTTCTCCTCCAGAAGGAACAGTATCTATGGTCGATTTCCATGAGAAAAATTGGTCTTTTCTCGAATCTATGGAAATAGAAGAATCCACTCAACATACCCAGAAGATTGAAAAGATTATAAAAGCTGGAGAAATATCTGAATCGTCGAGGGTTTTGGTTTCGATTAGCTCAGAAGCTTTTGTTGATCGTCTGGTTGAATCTTCACCTTCTCAGCTTTTGCTTATTGTACATGACTCTCTTTTTGTGTTGGCTTGTGTCAAGGAGAAATACGACAAAGTCAAATGTTGGCAAGGAGAATTGATCTATGTTCCAGAGAAATGGTCTCCTTTAGACGTTGTGTTTCTCTACTTTCTTCCATCGTTGCCTTTTGATCTTGACGAGGTGTTTAAGACACTGTCTCAACGTTGTTCCTCTGGTACAAAGTTCTGACCTTTTTCTTCATTCTCTTGTCTCTCTCAGGCTAAACTGAGCACTTGTTGGTTTTAGTTTCTAACAGAGTTTGGTCCAATGCTTGTGATAGGTGCAAGAGTAGTAATCAGTCACCCACAAGGTAGAGAAGGCTTGAAGCTGCAAAGGAAAGAGTTTTCAGATGTGGTTGTCTCTGACTTACCTGATGAGTCTACATTGAAGAATGTTGCTAAGAAGCATTCATTTGAAGTAACTCAGTTTGTTGATGAACAAGGATTTTACCTTGCTGTTCTAAAATCAACCAAACAATAGATTATGTCAGAGAACAATATAGATTTATCTTTCATGTATTGAGATTTTTTTTCCTGTTGTGTTGTAATGAAAATGCACCCAACACTGGAGAAACTAATCTTTTTTTGAGTAAAATCAAAACCTTTGAAAAGAAAAAGACTTAAAAACTCTTGTAGAGATCTTTACATGAAATGGAACAACCAGAGTTTTCACTGCTTTCTGGATTGCAATGCTCAACAATCCAAGAAATTTGTATAAAACCTTTTAGAAGATAGAAAAACTGAAGCTGTTACTTGTCGCAAACAAGTTGTACTCTTCACCTATTGTGCTCTGTTTCCCCTTATTATTGCTGGTGGGATCACCAAAAACATGATCTCCTCCTGAGAACTGCAACGAAAAATCCGCCAAAATCCCATCTTTGGAATGAGCAGGATTCGACTTACCTCCTGTAGACAGAGCAACCGGCCCACCAAAGTGGAATAACGAGAAGTTTTCGCCACTGTCACTTTGCAGACCTCTGCTGCTTGGAGTTTCCATTGGAGACATTCGATTTGATTTCCTTTCATCTGCTTCCTTCAGTGAACTGTGTGCCAATGGCTCAAGAGTTTGAGATTGGTCCACAGTGTTCATTGTATTGGCTTCAGCAAACGGATGGAAAACTGGGACTGGCCCGGGATTGAAGAAAGGTGTTGCTGAATGGTTCAATGGGGTCCCGTACTGCATGCATAACGGGGTCTCTCCATTCATACTGTATCCAAGAGGAGCGGAGTATACATAATGGTTAGGATGAGGGTACGGCATTAACCCGTTGGTTGGATCTGCAGACCAAGAGACCGGAGCTTGATGATAGTAACCCATTGTTGGAGGAGCCTGGAAGACTGACAACGCTATACTCTGGTTAAGCATTTGGGGAAACATCATGCTTTGTGGCTGGGGCTGGGGCATGTAGGAACCAGTATTAACACTGTGTGCCATATCTTCCATGTTTTGGCTAGGAACTGTAAAAGGAGTTCCCAATAATTTACTTTCCCCGTTGTCCGCTGGAAGATTAGAAATATTCATAACTCTTAAAATATCTCTTTCGGCAATACTCTTTCCTGCCTCTTTCTCTGCCATCTTATTAGGCATATCGTCCCGAGTATCCACTAGATTCTCTCTTCCTTCAGATTGCTGGCTGGCATCTTCAGAATCAGACATCGAGGAGGATTCAGTGTTTCCGTTGTTTGAAGAAGCTGTATTGCTATCTCCATCACTGAGGCACGAAGAGCAATTGTCTGAACTGGAGGTTCTACTCATCATAGGGTCTTTAGAGTACAGGTCCTCATTCTTTGGTGTTATGTGAACTTCCACCTTCTTGTCTTCCTTGGTTGAATTAATAAAATTCGCAGAATCCCTGTCTGAACTAAGATTGGCATCACCCAACTTTTCAGTAGCACTGCATCGAGACTGTGTGTCAGCTGACTTCACAGAAGAATAAACATCTTTAGTCTCTTCAGCCTTAAATGTTGAGCATATAACTGATGATACGTCAGACGTTGAGCTGTTTTGGGGATGCTTCAGTTCCATGGAGTCCAAGACCTTTCTTACATATACTGGATTCCTCATAGAAGAATTTTGTCCGGTTGTCACTCTACTTCTAGGTCTTAACTCTCGTTTATAGTCTGAGTGATTATACATATTGGATCGGTGAAGTGGCTTGGAAACGTCTGGATCAGAGTCTGATTTGAATGTGGTTTTGAGCTCTTGCATGGTTGCAGAAATATTAGATTCTACCTTTTCCTGGTATCCATTGATGGGTTTGCAACTGCAAGAATGGTAATCATACCTCTCACCAATCCTGTTGTCTGAACATTGAAACCCATCATGTGATCTACTGCTATTTGGGCTACCACCAGCCTTCGAGGCTTTCACTCTCAAATTTTTATTTGACCCGTTGAAGTACCTTGAAGACCTTTCTAATCTATCACTATAGTATATTGACTCATCCCTGCTGACAAAAGAAGCATTGTCTGGATATCTGCGCTTTTCTGACCACCTCAAAGCATGATCAGGCTGAAGTTCTTTCCAGAATCTTGCTGTCTGATGAACAGGTCTAGGATTATCATTTGTTTCATCTTCATGATCTATAACCTCTCTCTCAATGCTATCACAATAGTGGGTTTCCGCTCTTGGAGAAATGCAACCTTCCACACACTCTCCATCTTGATCATCAGGAGAACCAGGTGGAGAGAAATCTGCATCTCCAGTTTCAATTCCTGACTCCTCGCAGCTTATTGTATTGTTCACTCCCTCATCAAGATCCAGACAGCCTTCTTCTTCCCTTGACAAATTTGGCAGCATTGCTTTATCACTAGATTTTGGATTCTTCTGCTCTTTTTCACGTTCTTTTTCTTTCAACCTCTCCTTTCTACGAAGTTTTTTCTCCCTTTCTTTTGTTCTTTTCCTTTCTTTTCGCTCCTCCTCTTCACGCTTTTCTTTCTCTTCTTCCTCAAGAAGTTTCTTCTGCAAGGGTTAAAACGATGAGATTGTTGAACAAGAAAACTGTAAAATGTCTTGTTACAAAATTGCGTAGATTGTAAAAAAAATTCAATCAAGATAGCAGACGAACCTGCTTCTCCAAGGTGACAATTTCCTTGCAGGCAATATGAACACGTTGCTCTAATAGTTTCGATGAAAGGCAGACAAATATACTGTGTGCATTTTGACGAGCAGTACCTTCCCTAAATGCCTTTTCAACCTAAGATATTACCGTGAATAGATAGAAATGAATACACTTAAATACAGCCCAAATAACAACTTATGGAAGGTGAGCTTAGAGGAATCTATAACAAACCTGTTCCTTAAAAATAACAGCTGCAGCATCTAGAAGAAACTCTCGAGCAAGTTCTGGACTCTTAGCATGCTTTTGTGGACGCAAGCACTCACCATCAAGCTCATTCCCATCTTTGTCTATCATTACTTCATCCTTAATAGCATTGGGAGCACAATGAAATATTTTAACAAGGAGAAAGCGTATGTGCAAATTGTAAACATTTGAAGGCTTTCAGTCACAAAGCTTATGAATCTTCAATTTACCTCTTCTTCCTCAGCCTCTTCAGCATGCTCAAAAAACATTCTAATGCATTCTCCTCTTTTGATTGAAACAAAGCCATCCCCAACCACAAGCCTGGAGTGAACGCATTGTTGGCCTCTCAACGCATGGGCTTTGACGGATATCTCGGAGCAGCGGCCATTTTTTTTAAATGCCCTAAGAGTAATATAGCATTCGTGTAATCCACGAAGGTCTATGCCATTGACATGAGCACTCTTATCACTGCCTAAATATTTGAACTCGAGGATATCAGATTCGCCTTCTCCAGTTCCAATAGCCCACTCGAAGTGATGATATCCTGCATTTTCTGTAAACTTTTGACTCCAATCTGCTCGGACGGAATCAATGTCCACCTGAGAAATTGCAGTTACATTTCTGATTCTACCTTCCAATATAAGCCTCTCAGGGACATTAATAAATATACTCTTGAAAACCAGTAAAGTTAAGAAAGATAAAGACCTTATATTGAAAGGCTGTATCGGCAACACAAAACCAGTCGGTACATCGTGGTTCTCTCTGCATTCTTTTAAGTTCCTTAAGCTCTTTAAACTCCCGAATAACATTTCTTCTGCAGTCTCTACAAAACTTCTTGCAGTCGAATCTATAGTTTGAAAGGTCAAAATGTTAATTGAGGAAAGGAAAAAAGTCAAGAGACCATGTAAAGAAGAAAAAGAGAACATAACAACTAAGTAATGGATACAGTGACTTGATAGGCACACCATCAAACTTGAAAATACTAAAGGCCTGATCACATCTCAACTTTAAATATGGTAAACTAAGTGGTAGGAGTCATAATACACCATAATTCGAGAAACCAGATCATATCCAAACACTTGCTCAACTGAACTTTTGACAAAACATCCAAGAATACTGAATCAGCAAATAACAAACCTGTAAGTTAATCTTTCCACGAAATCCTCTTCTTTCATTCTCAAAAGTGAATGTCGACTTTCCTCTTCAAGTGCAGACCAAAAATCCACTAATGTATCACAAGAGAGCCTTGTGGTATGCAAAGCGCATGTTTCTCTTGTTCCATGACCTTTACCATAACCAGGTATCCCTTGACTCATCCATACCCGACCTCCACCACCACAAGCATCGGGATAAAGCAACTCACGTTCCCTCTCCCGAGCACGTGCACTTTCAAACACCTGCTAGAGCCCACAGATTAGCTAGCCAAACTTGACCAACCGCGAATAGGGAAACTTTGAATAAACTTACAATTTGAATCCCTTTAAAAGATTTGGCATGCAAATAGCAATCAAGAAGTGTGAGTGAACCATCTCGTGTTGTGGTGAGACCTCCCCATTGATGAACAGCGGGTTCTTGCAACTCACCCGTACATCTGTTACTAACAACCGACTTACAGTCAATCTGATCTTTTGAGACTCCTGATCTGTTGCAAGGAAGATTTCCTATCGATCCTTTCTGTTGCAAGGATTTCCCATATGAAACAATTTGCAAGAAGCCTTCAAGCAACAGTCCGTTACATCTGGAACAACACATGTTCTTGCGAGCTTGCTCAAACAGAGCCTGCTTGTCAATCCTGAGAAGCTCCTGCCTAGCTTTCGGCGACAGCTCACTCCAGAACTATACAAGATTTCAAGCAAATTAGTTTCAAGTGCAGTGATTTAACATCAAGTCATTGAACTAGTATCCAGATTCAAATATCATTCCAAACACACAGATTCGGGTTACAGAGAAAATATACCGAAGCACTAATCAAGGAAGATCTTAAAGGCAACGATCCAATATTCAACGCCAAAAATCCCGAGAATACAATCTAGAAACGAAGACTTATAAGCAGAAATTGAAAGAAGTACCTTTTGCAACTGATTGTAGCTGACTCCATCACCGACGTCGTTAGACCAAAACCCAGAAGAGTAAAACTCATTCCTCTGTGCTAAACCTGGCATCTTTTTACACTCGTTTATGTTCATCAACCAATGATTCCATAATCGTCTCCCTCACGGGGCCTTAGACTAAAAAAAACTCACGTCCGATTCAAATTCCGACTACGAAATCACCAAAAATCGAATCTGAAAAAAAAAAGTGGACAAAAGCATTCGATCGAGATCTAATCGTACGACGAAATTGGATGATCCCTGATTATATACCCAATTACGAATTACGTCTTCTCGAATCCTAAATGGAAGCAATCGAATCGAATTGGATTGGAGAGGAGAAGAGAAGAGAAGCGAAACAGGGTTCTTCTTCGTCGAGCGATGACGATGAGATTCGCAGCTAAGTATGTATATGT